TCTCCATGGTTGCATAATTTGATAGCAAAAGTTAGCCAACATGTAAAACTTTTAATACCTCATGAGGTCTCAATCTATATTTAGAGTCTGAGTATCAACAAGTTCATGAATGGGTTAATAGATTAAAAGCTCATTTGAATGAATTGGGTGTCACTTTGATGTGTGATGGTTGGACCAATAGTTTGAATCAAATGTATATCATTAATTTTCTTGTTTACTGTAGTAAATGGACCATTTTTTGGAAATCTGTAAATGTCTCAAGTGTTTGTAGTAAAGATACAAACTTTTACTACAGATTATTAGATGAAGTTGTGAAAGAAATTAAAGAAAAATACATTGTTTAAATAGTTACTAATAACGAGGCAACACTTAAGGTCGCAGGAAAAAGACTAATGGAGAAAAAAAACATTTATATTGGACAGCATGTTTAGCTCATTGTTTGAACTTGTACTTTAAAGATATTGGAAAGAAAAAAAATGTGGCAAAAGTTTTGGATGATGCAAAAAAAGTGACTTGTTTTATATACAATCACATTTGAACTGTTAATTTGATGAAGAAATATACATAAGGGAAGCAAATACTTCGTTCTGCTCTTACCCGATTTGTCACTCATTTCATACAGTTAAAAAAAATAATGAGACAAAAGCAAAGTTTGAGAGAGATGTTCAATTCAAAGGTTAGTACTTAATAATTAGTATAACTATTTAAATCTAGCATCTTTTTATGATATCATTGTTTAAAATATTAATTTAAAATATATTACTCTAAAAATTTATTAATGAATATATAGAATTTGAAGTTCAAAATGGAGACAACAAAAATCAGAACCTGCTTATGAATACAAAAAAATCATTTTGAAAAAAGATTTTTGAAAAAAAACATGCGATATAATAAAAGTTTAAGAGCTTTTGGTAAAGTATTACGTCTTGTGAATGGTGATGAAAAACCAATAATGGGCTTTATTTACGAGGTTGTGATAGAGCTAAACAAGCAATTCAACAAAATTATCGTTATTTTGCTAAATATGAAAAAATTATTGATAATAAATGGAGTTTCATGCATTCTGACTTGCATTCAACTGGTAAGTAAACAAAAAATATAAATGGTATTTAAAAAATATGTTTATTTTTTATACTTAAATTGCTTATATATTTATTTTTTATTACTTTAATATAATATTGTTATGAATTATGTTTATGTTACTATCTAAATTCACAATTTCAATTTGGAGTAAAACATTCTGCAAATGTATTTAAAGAAACATTAGAAGGTATAAAAGCAGTTATTGAAATATTAGAACCTTTGATAGAAACTCAAATCAGAATGATTAATCAAGTTAGTATTTAATATTATTTTATAACTTTAACATTTATTTTATGTATTAAAAATTAAATTATTTTTTATTTATTCATTTATTATTGTATTTTCAATCGATGTAGTTATTATTATTTCGAGACAAGCATGAAACATTTAGTACTTCACAGGCATAAAGAGCTTTGAAGCAAATAAATTCATATAAATAGTAAATTAAATAATTATAATTTATTTATATTATTTAATTGTATAGCACATTCAAATTTAATTTAAATAATTTTATACAGCTGAATGGTGGATGATATATGGCACTTGTGTTCCTAAATTACAAAAACTAGCAATCAAAGTGCTTAGTCAAACAATATCTACATTAAATTGTGAACATAATTGGAGCACATTTAGCTATATTCACACCAAAGCAAGAAATAGATTGAAGTTTGAAAGGTTTCAGAAACTTGTATATACCTATTATAACATGAGGCTGAGGATGGAACATTAGAAAAGAATGAGCATTGATGAAATAAATAATAGTTTTAATCTTATTAGTCTTGACCATATTTTTGAAGATGATGATCCACTAACAGAATGACTGCAAGAGAAAGAAAATCCTCTGTTAGATGGTCAAAACTCTGATTGGTTGCCCGTAGATAATTTTGATAATGAAATAAATGTGTCTCATTCAATTCAAGTCCAACACCAAGTCAGAGTGATGATGGTGGTGGTTTAAGTCTAGATGATAATGGTGATGGTGATGGTGCGAATTTTGGTGATAATATGAATGTAAATCAACCTTGCAGCCCACTTGGAGGAGAATTTGAGCTTGCTGCTACTGGTGGACTTTTCATTAATATGACAGAGTACGGAGTAAATCCATTTGCTGAATTTAGTGAAGGTCAAAGTGCACGTACAGCTCGATCAAAAGAAAAAGCCAAGGAGCACCACTATGATATTTTTAGAGGTTTTTCATCTTCAGGTGAAAGACCAAATTTTAGTAACTTTAAGTATAATGAATCATCTGCTAGTACTCAAGGACATTACTATCTACCGAAATAACTTAATTTTCAACCTCTTTATGATTATCCACCTCCGTATGATTATTATCCACCTCAAATGTATCCCCCACCTCCTCAAATGTATCAAGAACAAAGGCCTCAGAGATGGAAATGGAGTCAACTTGACTCTTAAAGTGAAGATAGAGAATTTGATCCTCCTCGTCATTCTACCATGTGGTAAAATTTGAAATATATATCAATAATTGTAGGTGATGGAATTTGAAATTATTATATTTTTAAGTTTGTAATTTTATTAAATATAGATGCTTGGTATTTAACATATTATGTTTTGTTAATATTTGATTTATCTAGAATTAATATTGAATATGAACTTGGCCAAGAAAAATTTTGTGAATAAACCAAATATGAATGCTTTTTATAATCTAAATAAAATTGTGAATAATTTTTTTAGAAAATAAAAAACATAGTGTTATAAACTATTTTTAAAATTATTGAATAAGAGTTTTTATAATTATAATTATAATTATTACATTTTATAATAAATTATGCAAAAAAAAAAAAAAACTTTACGACCGCAGTGACCACAATGATCTTCATTATATCCGAAAACGCGATAAATGCAACGTGACCGAAAACGTAACCGCGGCCGCTATTTAAATTCCTGCTAGATTTCTTGGGCAGTTTTAGTTCAACTGATGATTTTACTTTCAAGTCAGCTGATTATGGCTCAAGGATTCAAAAAAGATTGAAGCTTGATTTTGATGGCAATATACGACTATATAGTCTAAGTGAAGGGGGAGAAACATGGGCTGTTTCATGGCAAGCCTTCTCCAAGGCATGCCTAGTCCATGGAAGGTGCGGACCAAACAATCTCTTTACTTAAATTCCTAATTATGGTAAAAAATGCTCTTGCATTCCAGGATATAAGATGAAGAATCACATGGATTGGTCCTTTAATTGTGAACCTGAATTTGATCTTTCTTGTAATGAAACCAAGGCTGGTTTTATAAAACTCAAAACATACTGAATTCTACGGCTACGATTATGGATTGTTTCCAAACTACACCATAGACCAATGTAAGAACTTATGCCTGAAGATATGCAACTGCATAGGTTTCCAGTTAGATTCGTTAAAGCACACCAACCATACGGTACATATTGTTATCCCAAGACTCAATTACGAGATGGATATCGTGAGCCAAATGATAGTGCAGACTTCTTTTTAAAATTGCCCAAGGCCAATCTCTCCTCCCTCGACGAGACTGTTCAAGATTACAAGCTAGAATGCCCGGCACGAGTTGAGTAACTGGACCGAACATATCCAAAAAGCCCTGAAAATTCAGCACTTAAGTTTGTCCTTTGGTCTGCGGTGCTGTCGGAGGGATAGAATTTTTAATCATTTTCCTGGTGTGGTGGTTCTTGATTAGAACTCATCACTATTCACGCCCAGTGGGAGGATACCATCTCGCTGCAATAAGCTTTAGAAAATTTAGTTATGCTGAACTTGAAAGGGCAACAAATGGTTTCAAGAAAGAGATTGGAAGAGGCGCTGGAGGAATTGTGTACAAAGGCAAACTGTCAGATGATAGAATTGCTGCTATCAAGCGTCTCATTCTTGATACTAACCAAGGGGAACTTAATTCCTAGTAGAAGTGAACACCATTGGGAAGCTTAATCATATGAACTTGATAGATTTATGGGGATACTGTGCAGAGGGAAAGCACAAGCTTTTGGTCTACGAGTACATGGAACACGGATCATTGGCAGAAAACCTCTCTAAAACACTTGATTGGAAGAGGAGATATGAAATTGTAGTTGAAACTGCAAGAGGACTAGCTTATTTACACGAGGAATGTTTACAGTGGGTTCTCCATTGTGGCATAAAACCTCAAAACATTCTCATAGACTCTAATTACCAGCCTTAAGTGTCAGATTTTGGCCTGTCTCGGTTGCTAAACAGAGGTGACGCTAAGCATTCAAAAATCTCAAAGATTCGAGGAACTAGAGGTTACATGGCACCAGAGAGGGTTTACAATATGCCCATCACCTTGAAAGTGGATATTTATAGCTATAGGATCGTTCTGTTGGAGTCAGTCACTGGAAGGAGCCCTTCAATGGTAGTCCATGGAACAGATGGTGAAGAGGAAGAAGAGCAAGAAGCTTTAGTTAAATGGGTGAGAGAACAGATAATTACAATGATAGGTCCCATGCAATCACCAGAAACGCCGATGGGAGTGATAATAGATCCCACGTTGGATGGCAAATATGACAAAGGAATAGTTGTTGATCCTGGTTACAGCAGCTCCGAAATGTGTGCAAGACGATAAAGATGCAAGGCCGACGATGGGTCAAGTAGGTCAGATGCTATCTTCTCCTTGGATAAAATAATGAAGCAACAAAAAAACATTGTCATGCCCAATAGAGCGAATAAACTTGTTATGTAGTATGCTGCATTTGTCTCTTTTTGTTGGTCCGTACCGACACGGGGATATCAAGGTCGTTTCCCTTTTTCTTTTTCCATGGTATTGAGGAATTTGTGTATCAACAATAGCACCAAACCCTAAACCAGTTAATTATGATGCTTTGTCCTCGATAAGACACCAATTACACAATGCATTAGCAGCAGCTTAAGAACCTTGTATTCTTGGAATTAATTAGAACTTAAAAGAAGAATGGACCAGAAATTTTGTTGGTTTTCAACTATTGATAAGTATCAAAAGGTTCTATCACATTCCTTAAAATCTTCAAACCCACCACTTAAGTAAACTACCAAACAGAAACAAAACCATAACTCTTTTTGGTTTCGGTTTTATACAGAACTCCAGGCGTCAAACAAAAACGGTTCATGTCCTTTCTGTCCAACCTGGTAATCTCCTTCCACCTTGCTCATGAACAACATCCTCTCTTTTCTTGATTCCACCCATTTTATCCCACTGTACACTACCAAAATTATTATTTCTATAACCAACGATAAAAGAACTAAACCAACAAAAACAAAAAGACTTAAAACCGAATAAAGGAAACAAAAGACTCTGTTTTTTAACTCTCCTGCTGATCTTCTCGTAGTCTACTCAATCTTGCTAATTCCAATACGATTAACAACAGAATTTCTGATAGCCTCAGTTTGAAAACAAAGCCCATTTTGTTCAATACCAGCCATGTAGTTTCTTACTTCTTTTCTTATCATCTCTTGCATAACTGCCAAAAACTCAGCGCTAAAAAACTGCTTCTCCATCCTAAACTCACCGTTTTGTACCCCCACTTGCTGCAACTGCACAGCTGGAATCGAAGCAGGAGCTGGGGGTGCTGTTGTCACCTGGGTTGGACTTGGAATAGGATTGGATACTGGTCCCTGATCAGAGATTTCACAAGAATCGGATCCAGGCAGCGAGAGGCTGAGTAAGGTAGGTGGATCCGTTGTCGATGATGCTGTTTCCATATGCTGAGTGGAAGGGACCAAAGAATCAGCTCTTGCTAACGGTCTGTGAACCGGTGAGGTAGCGGGCAAACTCAAGTCACTCAAATCGGATCCCAAAGGACTACTGGGGTTCAGGTAAAGACCCGATACATTATTACCAGTACCAAGACTGGCCGATCTTTTAAGCGGCTGCGGCGAATCATCGTTCAAATCATCAGTCATGGAAGAGCATTTTCGCTTCAGGGTCGAGTTCCAGTGGTTCTTAATCGCGTTATCTGTACGGCCATTGAGGAGTCGAGCGATGGTAGCCCATTTGTTGCCGAAGCGGGCATGGGCTCTAATTATGGTGTCATCTTCTTCAGGAGTGAAGGGTCGGTGTTCAACCTCAGGGGAAAGCTGGTTGCACCATCGGAGCCTACAAGACTTTCCTGATCTACCCGGTATCGATTTGCTTATTAAAGACCAGTTCCTGGGGCCATACGTTTGAACCAACCGCTGTAAAGCCGCGTCTTCTTCTGGACTCCATGGACCTTTGATCCGATCCACATCCTTCCTTGTAGAAGCCATTGGAACAATAAAAAAAATAACTCTAAAAACTGATTACAGAAACAAACACAAAAAATTTCTAAACTATTTTCTTTTCAACAGAAAGAAGAGGGCTGGTGTTTGAGAGAGGGAGTATTGTTACTAAGGTGGCAGAGGCGGAGGCTCACCTTCGGTTAAAGAGAGGAGACGAAGGAAGCAAATCGGGAGGCATTTATATATGGAAGGGGAGAAGGATGACTTATTGAACCAGTAGTAGTGACAGGTGACCGGGCATAGCCGTTGAGGGAGGATTCTTCCAAGCAAGGCAGTTATTAGTATACAGCTGTCAATGTGACACGCGTCATTTTCTCGACTCTATTTTACACGTATTATTATCAACCCCCTCCTCCCCTTCTAAAATATGGATTAAACTGTTAAAAGGTTGAAAATATGTACAAAATCAGGGTAATTAAGAGTAGTTAAAACGACCGTTTTGGACGTTAAAATTTGGAAGGGCAGATTTGATCTTATCTGTATTTTAAAAAGGCCGAAAAGAAAACAAATTATGAAAGACATAAGTGTACGGTTGGGAAAGGACTGTGACTTTGACTAAGCCAGGCTGGACTGCATATATTGATAATAAAAGCTTTTTAAAAATTTTATTTGTTTTTAATTTATAAAATGATGACGAGAAAGGAAAAGGACACGCGGGAGAACTGAGCTGGCGCAGAAAACGACAAATGTAGTAGCAGGTGAGGGACGAACGGTACTACAATTGTGTCAGTCCAGCCTGTCACAAACCCAAACGTCAAAGCCCCGCTTTCAGTAATGCCCATCCTTCCCCCTAACTGCCCACTTCCGACATTTCGCCACGTGTCATTCACGCTCCTACCTGAAACTGCCAAAACGCACTTCCCGCAGCTAGTCCTAAAGACTTGAAACAAAAGTCCCACGCGCTCCCTCGCACGTCACTTCGTCCACCCAATCGCTGTCCTTTAGCCGTACCGCCACGTTTCTATAATCGCCATATCACGTGACTTGGCCCATCATGCATATGCGCCTCACATGAAGTCCTCCCTTTCTCCATCTATGTCATATGATCCTTGGTCCCTACTCTTTGTATTCTAAATTAAGCCACCAATATACGAGCAAATTTTGCTTTCATAGAAAATAATCAAATAAAAAAAAATCAAGAAACATTACGAAACATTCTAGGATAATAATCCGTACAATCACTAACTATGTATTTTGTGGCCATTTACGAGAGGAAAGATGCGAGGGAGGGAAGCAGTGGGGCACGCTACTGGCTTTGCATTTAAGCAATAAAATTATACTTTCGATTCTTACAATTACGCCCCGTGTTGTAGTTTGCAGCGGAGAGTTTCTATATACAATATGGGACAAAGGGTGGCAGTGCCAGTGTGTTTTGAATGTGTTACCTTTTAAGTAGACCAAAATACGGATCAAATTGTAGGAATTGAAGATATGACTAAGGGGATGTGATTGGGCTTTACCGTTGAATTAATTGGAAGGGCATACGTACAGAAAGGAGGAGGATGTTTCTAATCACGTAAAATCTAGTATGAAGTCCAAAATTATAAATGGACTTATAATAGATAATTATTTATAGGAAGAGATTAAGTTATATTAAAATAATTATATTTTTTTAATCATTAATTTTAATAAATTAAATAGATAAGAGAGATAAATAAAAAATTTTAATTTATTTTCATCTTTTAAATATATTGAATTCAATTATTAAAAAAATGTAAAATTTAAAAGTTTTACAATTGATCCTAAAAATTATAATTTTATACTCGTAAAATTGTAATAAAAAATTGTAGAATGCTCGTTTTAGTATCACTTGGAGAAAAAGATTAGGTACAAACAAAACTTTGAGATACTCAACCCATATTAAAAGAAACTTATCAATTTGGAAAAAAATGAAAAGGATATTTAATTAAGGGTTTATATTTAATGTATTATTTATATATTTTTAATAAATCAGATGATATCATTTTACTAATAAAGTGAAATAAATAATACTATTAATGAATAATTTTTTTAAATTAATTTTTTATATATTTATGTTAAAATATAATATTTACTCATTAATAAAATGATATCATTTGATTTATTGATAATGTATAAAATTTAAACACTAATAATGCATTAAATATAAACTATTTAATTAAACATTCAAGATTGTGAGTATTAATATCTTATCCATGACTAATTAGGAATATCAATAACTTCATTTTTTTGTCTGGGACCTCTTGATGTCTGATAGCTACTTTCAACTTCGACTATTTCGAAGTCAATCAAGTCGGACATCATAAAAGGGACAAACTTTTTCAAGCTTATTTTTTTCATTTACAAAACTTAAAATCGAAACTTTACTTAAGAAAAAACCAAGCTCCTTGTCACTCAAACCAATAGACGTTAGTACATCTATAATTTTATTATACATTACGAATTATCCATTTAAAATTTTATCTTTACATTGTTTTTTTGTTAACAATATTTTCGTGTAATGCAATAACATAAAAAATGGCATTTGAGACATAAACATGAAGTTTGATCTTGAAATGCAAAAGCAAAATCATGGTCTATCAACATCTTCCTTTGTATTCTCTTTAGTATTTTTAAATAAGAAAAAAAAAAAGACAAAATTTTGTTTTCAATTTCATGTTTGATATGATACAAGCATTATCATAAGTTGGAAGACATCTAAGTATTTAAAAGACAAATTATGGGCTATAAAGTTATAAAAGTTAGGCCACAAAAGTATTATCAAATCACACTAGCTCCCTCTGAATTTAAAAAGTAAAAAAATTCGACTGAATTATTTACTCAATCAATAAAATTAATTTTTATGATTGTCAAATTACTATACGTTTAATTATTATGTCATTATAAGTGAGAATTGATATTTAGATTTATTGTTGGAAAGCAAATTTACCATTGTCAAGAAGAGACTTATCCAACTACTTTTATTACTGTTTCATTAAGGCATCACTTTATAATAAGATCAATTAGTTTTTAATTTATTTATGATCATTAAATGCAGTTAATGCTTATCAAAGATCATTAAATATAACTTATAATTATTTTATACATTTTTATTAAGTTTCACATAAATTTATTATCAATAGTCAATTATCTTGCTCATATTAATACTCTTTTCTCTTATGTGTAAAAAAAAAAAAAAAGACCAAGTATGATATGAACTAAGATTTTCTCTTTCTTAAACTTTCTAAGCACTTACAACATACTTGCTTCAACTTTTGGCATGTGACTAACTTGAATGTTTAAATGCATCGCGAATAACCCATTTCGATACCCTAGGTCATATTTTATTTCTATAGGTCCTAGCTGTCTTTCGAACAATCACCAATAAAATTAACAATCTAACTTAAATCCATCAAGTTTTTAAGGTCGAAATTTTTTTTGAAAATTAAATTTTTAGTTGAATTTAAAAAAAAAATTAAAATCGGAGTTTTAGATAAATTTATTTTGATTCAATATTTTTTTTTATTATTTATTTAATATTATATTTATATTTTAAAATTTTTATATTTATATTTAAAAAATAATATTTTATTATTTTTAAATTATATCAATTATAATTTGATGCATATATGAGTTAAGCTTAAAAATAATATTTTAATATTATATTAAACTCAAATATTTATTATATAAAGTTAAATCAAATTCGGTACAAATAAATATCCATCCCGACGTTATAGGTTATCATCTGTGGTTAGGGGTGAGCAAAAGTCGGTTTGAACCGACTAGATCGACCAAAACCGAATGAAATCGGTTGAATCGGTTCGGTTTATTCGGTTTTAATTATAATCGATTTTTTAAATCGGTTAAATTGGTTAATTCGGTCGATTTTCGGTTTTTAAAATTGATAACCGTACTGATCGAATTAATCGATATTTTAATAATTAAAAATAAAAAAATTAAAATAAATATTTTTATTTATTTATTTTTTGGTAAAATATTGTTGAAATTATTAAATTCTTTAGTAATTTAGTTTGAATGATACTAGAGTTTGAATTTTATTGAATTAAATTTATGGTTAAATAATTATTCATAATAGGAAGAAAAATGATAAAAAAAATCGGTTATTTAATCGAACCGACCGAACCGAACTGATTTTGGTCGGTTCGATTATGGTCAATTATTTAATAATATTCGATCGATTCGATTATTTGTTAAATGAAAGTCGATTAAATCGATTATTGATTTTTTTAAACCGAACCGACCGAATTGATCATTTACTCACCCCTATCTGTGGTCGCCAAGCTGGCTCCCTCCCAATCAACAGAACCACATCATTGGTCTGACTAAAGGCAAAACTTAGGAGTGTGGCTAATTAAGTTAATCTCAATCATTTCTATTCCTCCTTGAGCCAAAAGATGGTGGCTTTTGACCGAAAAATGGTTGAGTTTATTTGCAGCTGGTGGTGCTGGAGACTCTTTCTCTTAAATTATTGGTGTGGCAGAAATGGACAAAAAATCCATAAAAATCAAAGCTCCCTCTGCTATGGGCAGAGCCAGTTCCTCTCTCGCCAAGCTGGGTCGTTAGCAAAAATGGATGGGACCCAACAAAGTCCACGTGGACACAAACTGCGCCACATATGATCAGTTAAAGGGTGGTAGGGCTGGGGTTTGTTTTTTGTGGCAAGCATGGTTTTGAGCGAGGAAACAAAAGACTCTTTTTATTTTTGTTTGGGTAACCAAACCGCAGGAAGGGATTTGGAAAGGGTTGGCATGCCAGCTATAAGGCACTAACCCCGAGTTCCAAAGAGAATCATAGTCTTGGGATTCGTGAACGAGCTTTTGGGATTGGGACGGTCCCATTTAGCCCACGATTTTCTGCTGCATGCATCTATCGTACGACGTGATCACCTGACGTCGAAGAGGAGAGAGAATGATTGGAAACTGGATTTGGTGCTGTTGCTGGAGTCGAATGGAGTAGTAATAATTGTACAAAAAAAGAAAAAAAGACTGGAATAGTAGTAAGTATATTTTATGGTACGACTAAAGGAGATTTACCTGTTTTCACTGATTGCGTGCAAATTTCCATTTGGATGCTTGAGGGGCTACATGGGGCAGCGAATGGGATAGGATCTTCTTTCTTCTCCATTTAAATGGGGAAAGCCAGTTGTAAAATGGTTCTCAACCCTACCCTACAACAAACTAATTGCCAAAACAGGAGAAAAAGTTGTAAATATGAAATTCCGCTTGCATTCATAACGTGGTCCTTGTGTTGTTTATTAATCCGAATACTAAAAGGAGGGAAAGGAGTAAGGGACCCCATTGAAAATTTGACTCAGTGAAGTCAAAACCAGCCAAGGGATCCAAGTGGAACCCTAAGCAAGGAAGAGAAGCGTCTTTGTCTCCCTTTTTATTGTTTTAAGAGTTATTTTGCAAAGTGGAATACAACAAAATACAAATAATATTATACTGAAGTGGGATAGATGTGCACCAACAAAACTATATGTAATATACCTTTTAGAGTTTGTTACGTATTGGGGTGTTAATGTGATAAAGCAATCATGAAACTTGGTTCATGTCAGAAGAGGTTAGATCCACTTCTGCCCTTAATGGCTATGGACTGATACGACGTTACAGTCATATGGGATGGCATTAATTTTGATAGGTTGACCGGAAATATTTGTTAATTGCTTAATTAAAATTGGCAAGTAAATGACTGGACGGATTTTCCTCCACCATGCAGATTAATCGACAACGGTCATCGCATGCAACGTTCGGCAGCTAGCGGAGTTGGGTTACAGCAAGTATCCCTATGAAATTTAGAAATATCGATCCACACTTCACAGTACAGAGGTTTTTTTTTTTTTTTTTTAATTTGATAATTCATATATTTATATTATATATATATATATTTTTTAAATACATATAAAATATAAAATTAATGTATTATAATTCGTATTCATATATCTAAAAAATATTTTTTATTTTTATTAAATCCATATAATTTTTATAAAATTTTTAAATTTTATTGCTTTCATATATTTTTTCATATTATTTTTGTGTTGTATTGAAATTATTAGATTTAATTTTTTTTATATGAAAATATTTTCCCTAAGGTTTTGACTATGCTATAGATTTATATAGACATATGGTCTTGTCGTCAAAAGGGACTAATGTAAGCAATTTGAAGAAATTTTAGGCAATTTGAAAAAAAAAAATTTTTGATTGTTCAATTGTGAAAATATTCCAAACATATTGTATATTTTTCTTCACTCAAATGGAGACAAGACAAGGGGTGGCTTTATAATAATTGGGTCTGAATGTTAAATTTGGGCTTGAATTATCTTCAATGCCAGCTGGTCCTGAAATTTAAGCTTGAACGTTGGTTAATAAATTGAGTTTCTAACTTAGGCCTTCTGGTAGACAAGTTGGGCTCACGAGGGAAAGAAGAAATTATAGTTTGTGTCACTGCACACAATAGTTTGAGCTCATTAAAAAAAACCCATAATAATTTGAGCCCATTAGCATATTATATGCGTGAAATAAATAATTAAGTGAAAAAGATATTAAACGTATAAATTTTTTAAAATATCAATTTTAATAATATATTAACCGATTTAAAATAATAATCCACATAATTGAAAACAAGTTGGAATCGGCTAAATCTGCTAGTAAACTTATGAAGCATTGACTGAATGAATGTTCCACCCTGTACAATCTTTATACTTTCCAGTTGTCCACAAGGGCCGAGGCTGACGAACCCACCAACCATGCCAGCTTGTTGGAATAAAGACAAGTAATGACTTGCATGGGCTGCATCCTTAGCCCTATACCCTAAACACACTTTCTCATTTTCGCGAACATTTTCGAAACAATTTGATATAAACTTCAACCTCTTTTTTATGATAGTACTAGAAAGTAGAAATAGCTCGAAGTTCCCAGTCATCCCAAAACAAAAGAAAAAGAAGAATATACGTTAAACTCATATCCAAGCATTTGATTCACGTATCAAAGAAATTGTTGCATTCTTGTGTTCTAGTACAAATTGCTATAACAAAAGAAAAAAGCCCAAATAATTGAATAATATTTACTAGTGTTAAGACACATGTATTTGTCTATGTGACGGATGAAATATTATTATTCATTGGCATAATTAAATCATGAAAATGAGATAGTTATATTCAAGGCTTGAAAGAAAATCCCACGTGGATGACCCAACATGGAAAATTAGAATAAAAGAAAAGAAAACCAATTGGAAAACCATATAATAAACAACCAGACTTTCAACATGGTCCTGACTTCGAGAGATAAATAGTTAGAAAGACAGATCAACCTCCCTTTTGCGACAGGACGCCGCAAAGTCCCTCCCCGGATGCTTTCCTTCATTCTCTTGGTTCTTGTGGCTCACGCCTTACCAGTCAAATGTCAAAATCTACTTCAACACAAATTAAACATAATTATCCTGGCCGGACAAAGTAACATGGCCGGTCGTGGAGGTGTAGCCAATGACACTTCGACGGGCATTCCAACTTGGGACGGCGTAGTTCCTCCACAGTGCCAACCGAACCCTTCAATCTTCAGGCTGAGTGCAGACCTGGCATGGGTTCAGGCCCGTGAGCCAATCCATGCTGATATTGATGCCAGGAAAACAAATGGGATTGGACCTGGAATGTCATTTGCCAACGCTGTGCTGAGCAAGGACCCCAACTTTGGCTTGGTGGGGTTGGTGCCTTGTGCCATTGGAGGGACCACCATAAGCGAATGGCAGAAAGGGGAGTTTCTGTATGAGCAGTTGGTGAAGAGGGCTCAGATGGCGTTGCAGAGTGGAGTATATAGAGCGATGCTTTGGTATCAAGGGGAGACTGATACAATAAATCAAGACGATGTTGAATTGTATAAAGGTAGATTGAAGAGATTTTTCAATGATTTACGTTCTGATCTCCACGCACCTATGCTCCCAATATTCCAGGTATCATTTGTTTGGTTGTTTCTTTTCTTCATAAATTAGATTTTCTTCGATTTTGTCTTGTAGATTTTATGAATCCTGTTTTGCTTTCCCTGTACCAGTGGTCAGTTTTATTCCAAAAACTGGATCAAAGTTTTGATTAGACCCTAGATAAAGATTGAATCGACAGCTTGTTCCATATCATCTCTATGCATTGGCTCTGTTATACCGAATTACTATCATATATTTGCATAAATTTTATGGAATTGGTTCATTTTCCTAGCTTCTTAGAAGTTTAAAATCATAGAGTTTGACAGAACTCACACGATGGATCCCATATCTTTATTCTTGGGGATCAGTTTTGGATCACTGGAAAAAATAATAAACATTATTCACTTGAATTTGACCTTAACATTGAATCATGACTTGCCGATTCTCCTAGGACAAGAATTTCAGATTTCAACGTTGAAGGAAAGTCCAAAGTTAACCGGCAACTTGCTTATGCAACAAGCTGGACTAACATGGGTAGTTTCTTTGGTAGGTGGCTCTAGCATCAGGAGAGGGACCTTACATAGAAGAAGTGAGAGAAGCCCAGTTAAAAACAGGCCTTCCAAACGTGAAATGCGTGGACGCCAAGGGATTACCACTGGAACCAGATAGGTTACATCTCACCACTCCATCCCAGGTGAAACTCGGGGAGATGTTGGCTGATGCATTCCTTCGGTTCATACCCAGCCCTTTACAAGGCAACGATGCTTCACCCAATTTTTCTAGTTTTGTTCCCTATTTTTTGATGATCGTTCAAATTTTCAGATGCCTCTGGATGACCATTACTTTCAGATAGAGATTGGTTCTAAATATTTGATTGTTTCTCTGTATTCATACTAACATAGGATAAGAATAAAAAATAGGTATTTATATGAACTTAGAATCAGATGTTGAGCGATAGCTGCTGGAATCAATCTTGTGCTTTATCATTTGATCATTAAAAATTTGGCTCTTCACAGAACTCCAGACAAACAATTTGCAATGTCTATAATTAGCCTAGATTGAAAACTTATCACGAGTCTTATATTTTTTTTTATCAATGATCAAAATTAAATTCATGATTAATTTGACTCAAAATAATAATTTTAATTTTAATTATGTTTATCAAAAAATATAAAAATATAAAATTTATATTAATACAAGTAGATCTTTGCTCATAGTAAATATTGAGGCAATACCAAGTCAATTCGAATTAAATTTTGGGTTGAAACTTCTCAATATTACTCAAATCCACTTATATGTCAGATTAGGTATCGTCGACCTTTTTATGGACAATAAAAGGTCAAGTAAATCAATTTATATTAAGTGAAGTTGCTAGTGCAATTCTCATTTTTTCCTGGAGAGCCATGATTTCCCCTACATTCCATATGTAGATAAATTAACATAATTAATTTGAATATGATTTTGACATTCCGTGGATCTGATAAAATTTAGCAGGCCTCAGTCATACGGTACTTTACCTCATGACTTCTTTAATTTAAAATCAAAATATGTTAATTATTTTTAAAATTACTCATAAATGAAATTAAATTAAATCGAGTTTGAAACTTATATATATATATATATATGATATTAATAATTATTTGTTTGATTTGATAATTGGAGTTCAAGGTTTTGACTAACATCTATTTTTCTGACTAAATTTATTTAACCAACTTAATATTTTTATCTAAATTCGGACAAGCCTTCAGACATAAAACGAAAGATGTTATTTTATTAGTCAATTATAAAAGGCACAAAATTCTATCAATACTTCAAAAAAAGTAAACGTGAATCCAAGACTACTAGTGCTAACCATTGAGAGAGAGAACAAGGGAGAGCACCAAGCAATGTCCACTGTATCTTTATGGAATCTAGCGTTATCTCCCAACAAACGGATCTGTCTCTCTCCTCTCTCATGGCGTCCTTCTTTTCCCTCTCACGCCATGTTTCCTCGTCGCCAGAACACCAAAACCGTCGTAGTCCTGGTCAGAATGTTGGACTCAAAGCCCACTGTCCTCGTGGCAGAAAAGCTCGGTGACGCAGGTATCCAACTACTTAAAACTTTCGCCAATGTGGACTGCTCCTACAACTTAAGTCCTGAAGAGCTTTGCACCAAGATTTCGCTTTGTGATGCTTTAATAGTGAGAAGTGGAACCAAGGTTACTCGGGAAGTGTTTGAGTCATCTATGGGAAGGCTCAAGGTTGTGGGTAGAGCTGGTGTTGGGATTGATAATGTGGATTTATCGGCTGCTACGGAACATGGGTGTCTCGTGGTTAATGCGCCTACAGCCAATACAATTGCGGCTGCCGAGCATGGGATTGCTTTGCTCACTGCTATGGCCAGGAATGTTTCCCAAGCTGATGCTTCTATGAAAGCAGGTTTGTTGTTTCTATTGCTTGCATTGTGTCTTTTTATGTTTGGATTGGTTTATCAACGGTTTCTTGTTTTGTTAATGTCATTTAGGCATTTCTTCAAGCGGCATGTGTGCTCTTTTTTGTCTTTCACAAATTACAGTTTGTTATATAATTATAGATTGCCACGTGTTTACTGTCTTAATTTGGCTGTTACTATTCAACAAAAAAGCTTGAAACTTGAGAACTTTAAATCTGAAGAAAACAATGTACAACTTGAAAGTTGAAATTTTGTCTGTGTTCTCTAATTTCTAATTTGAGTAAGTTGAGTGGGGAATTGAGTTTGTGGTGAAGGAAGTTTAGGGCTTTAAGTTTCAATTTGTTACTTTGACTTCTTAATGTTAAGTAGAAGTTTGGTTTGTCCAGGAAAATGGCAGAGAAACAAGTATGTAGGGGTATCCCTTGTAGGGAAAACACTTGCCGTTATGGGGTTTGGGAAAGTTGGTTCAGAAGTAGCCAGGCGTGCTAAAGGACTTGGAATGAATGTAATTGCACATGATCCTTATGCCCCAGCAGACCGCGCTCGTGCAGTTGGTGTGGAGCTGGTGAACTTTGAAGAAGCATTGTTAACTGCTGATTTTATCTCCATGCACATGCCTCTCACTCCTGCTACATCAAAAATGTTCAATGATGAGGCTTTTTCTCGGGTGAAGAGAGGGGTCCGCATTGTCAATGTTGCCCGTGGTGGTGTTATTGATGAGGAAGCTCTACTACGGGCCTTAGATTCTGGGATTGTTGCTCAGGTTTGTGTATATTTAAGTATGTGCCACATAGTTGGAGAGTTGGTAATGTTACTTATGTGCAGGCAGCACTTGATGTGTTCACAGAAGAGCCCCCTCCAAAAGAAAATAAGTTGGTGCGGCATGAAAATGTGACTGTCACTCCTCATCTTGGTGCCAGTACCACAGAGGCTCAGGTACTTTCTTGGCTATCTGATATGGCCTTTTTCCTTCTTTTACCTTGTCAGATGTTTGGTTTCACAACCTTATAACAATTGTTTTGACTAGGAAGTTGTGGCCCTTGAAATTGCTGAAGCTGTTGTTGGGGCTTTGAAGGGGGAGCTTGCTGCTACAGCTGTAAATGCCCCCATGGTCCCTCCTCAGGTATCAACTCAAATTTTAGTTATTCCTGTATATACTTCTTATTACATATGATGGCGATTGGATTATGCTGTCTGTTTTGAGACTGTTTATAATTGATTACTTAAATAATGCAATAATTCATATATCTTCAGAGAAAAGAAATTAACTTGATCGAGTTAGTCAAAACTTTTCTTGGATATTTACCTTTGTTTGGCAATCATGTGCACTTCAACTTTTCTTGTTTTAATATCACAGGTTATGTCAGAACTTGCACCATTTGTTTCACTCACTGAGAAGCTGGGTAGATTGGCTTTACAATTGGTTGCTGGTGGAAGCGGTGTGAAGTTTGTCAAGGTGACTTATGCTTCTGCTAGAGGTCGAGATGATCTTGATACTCGGCTGCTCCGAGCCATGATTACGAAGGGTCTAATTGAGCCTATTTCTAGTGTTTTTGTGAACTTAGTGAACGCTGACTTCACGGCTAAACAGAGAGGCCTTAGGTTAACAGAAGAACGTATTGTATTGGATGGCTCACCTGAGAATCCTCTCGAGTTCATCCAGGTTCAAATTGCCAATGTGGAATCTAAATTTGCTAGTGCAATTTCTGAGTCTGGTGAGATTACAGTAGAGGGAAGAGTCAAGGATGGAAAACCCCATCTGACCAAGGTTGGATCCTTTGATGTTGATGTAAGCCTGGAAGGCGGTCTTATACTCTGCAGGCAGATTGATCAACCCGGTATAATTGGAAGTGTGGGCAGCATATTAGGCGAGGAAAATGTAAATGTAAATTTCATGAGTGTTGGAAGGATTGCACCAAGGAAACAAGCTGTAATGACCATTGGTGTGGATGAGGAACCCAGCAGAGACGCATTAAAGAAAATAGGAGAAATTCCAGCTGTTGAAGAGTTTGTCTTCCTAAAGTTGTAACATAGACTACTTAGTCATACCATCATGCTCGATCTGTTTGTTACTAATTTTGAGCACTGCTCTGAAAAATGTAGTTTTAGATTTAGAGTGCATTTTGTTATTGTATTCCAACTGCTAATTCGATTGGTTGGATAATAGCCTGAAATTTCAGGTAGGTGCCTTAAAATGTTCCCTTTTCATGTAAATTATAATACTATCTCCAATGCTTTTTTACTACTGTGCTCTGTCGCAGATGAGGAGTTCTAAGCGATATTTTTGGCCAATTGAGCAAAATGTTGTACGCGTCTATCAAAATTTATTGTCAGGAATTCATCATGGATTTTGCTACTTTATCAAGATAATTGTAGATTGGTATTATTGCATGTGACGCTGTGGTAACATTAACTCAAGTTATAAGGTACTGTAGAAACAATTAGTACAACATTTTCAAGCAGAGAGCAATTTTGGAACCTCGAGTTTCTAGTACCTAGTGCCATTTGGTAACTGTCCTTCGGCATGCAGAATCTGGACAAAGTCAAATGTGACAAATTTCACACAAAGCTTGCAACATGAACACAAAGTTATATACTCGTCCGGCGGCACCTCTTATTTTGTTTTCCTTTGATTTTTACCTGCTATTGGTTAATACTATGGCTCTCACCAAACTTTCATTTAGCAGGGAACTGAAAATATAAATGAACAAGGAGCAGTAGAAACCATGGTGGAGACTGTAGTTATACGATCATCGCTAGGGTAAAACAAAGAACCCAGGATAAAGAACGTAGGAGTGGTTCACTTGAGTCGTTACCGGCGCAATTCTGGCAACAAGGGTGGTGTTCTGGCTGTTGCAGCTGGTGCATTAGCAAATGCCTTTCAGTCTGCCAAGGCCCAAGGATGCCATTTCAGGCCGTGGTCACGGTAGCAACAAATAAAACATGTAATCAACCGCGCAATGCTCCGCGATTGGAGGCGACAGGTATATTTCTTAGTGGCTATTATCTTTTGGGGCCATAGCTGATAGATAGCTTTTGAAAGCAAGACGAATATCTAAGGTACTTTTTTGGCTGTCCCATTCAAGATCCGTTCAAGATTTAATTCCATCCATCTCTATTTTAAAGTCCAAAAGAATTGCCACTTTAAAGGGAAATAAAGAAAATGTCTCATAAGCACGAAGATCAGATGGCAATTGTGGACAAAAGTCTAAAGCATCAACTTGTCATGATTGATTGATACTAGCAAATTACAGTCCCAAGATTGAATATCCTAATTTATTAGTCGGCATTTCAATTACACAATGCTTCAGTTAACTATGACCAAACAAAAGATACTGTGAAGAACATGAGTACAATAACCAAATGCAAAGCTCTTTTGGGCAGCTACTGATAACTTGGAGTGCAACCCGAGGATATTTTACCAGATACCAACCTCCATGAACCCATCCTCAGTGGCGCAGCCCCTAAACATCCCAGTGGTGTTAAACCCACAAGCCACCTCACCGTTCTTTGAAACAGCAATCAGCCCAGCTTTGCCTTCATCTAACCGATTCTTTATCACAAAATCCACTGCCTCATGCAGATTCAACCCGTTGTATTCCATCACTGCTGCTACATCTCTTGCCAAGGTGCTTCGGATGATTGCTTCTCCTTCCCCAGTGCATGACACGCCACACAAGTCACAAGCGTAGGTTCCTGCACCAATAAGGGGCGAGTCACCAATCCTTCCTGTCATCTTGTTCATGAGCCCACCAGTGGAGGTGGCTGCAGCGCACCGACCCTCCTTGTCAACCACCACGCAACCAACTGTCTCTGGGGCGTAGACGCTGATTGGGAGCCCGTTCATCTGCAAAGGACTGTCCATGGTTGCGCCGGCACCGCAGGTGCCAATCGTTGGGATACGGTAATCAAACTGATCAAACGACAAAAGTAGAAAAGGTTAGTCATGGTCCCGCCACGTGATTTGCAGCATCAATGTCGTTTTAATGCAAAATCAAACGTACCAGGATTGAGTTTGCCTCTTTTGCCAACTTAAGCATCCCCACATTATCTTCCGTAATGAAATATTCATTGTCCACCAACTCCACGCCCTGCACAAAATCCAACCATTAAAAAGAGAAGAATCTAAACTCTCCTGTCACGTGTAAGAACATGAAATGAAAGCGTGTGGCTAATCTATTCAACACGTGGATAATTTAATCTAAAAGTCCAAAAACAAAAAAATTGAAGTGTGGGTTGGACCACGACTGCTAAACCGGTAAAAAGTAAACCTGCTTCCTGGCAAACTCTTCGGCACCCGAGAAGGCCAGAAAAGAATGTGGTGATTTATCCATGACAAGACGGGCAAGGGAGACAGGGTTCTTAACAGTAGTTAAGCCTGAAACGGCACCGCATCTCCTCTTTGGCCCGTCCATAATGCTGGCTTCCATTTCAACCGTTCCATTCTCCGTAAGAGCCGACCCTCGCCCGGAGTTGAACAGAGGATCGGTTTCCAGTTCTTTCACCTATCAAAACAAATCTAATTTTCATCATTCCAGAAGCAAACGACGGAAGCAAAAAAGAAACAATAACCAAATACTCTCCCCGTCATCATATATCGTCACCATTACAATTTTCACCAATAAAAAAAAATGTGAAATGTGAAATGTGATGTTTTTTTGCATTTTCTTTGTTAAAGAAAAATTTTTTTTCCTTTAACAACATTATAGGTTTTAATTTACTGAATGAGGCATGAAAGATGGTGACGAAGGGTTAAAAGAAAAGGATACATACGACAAGCTCAACGACGTCAATGGCGGTTACGTTAGAGCGGAGAGCAACGATTCCAATATCGAGACAACGAGTGAGGAGTCTCTTAGCCTCCTCTTGTCTTTCTTTAGGGAGATTTGGGTCCACACCAGCTCCACCATGCACTGCAATAGCCCAGGGTCCCATTTTTTCTCTCTACCTCTTTTCTAACTCTGGCTCTGCCTATCGCTCTCGCTTGCCTTCGCCTCTTTTAAGCCCTCTTTGCTACGTGAAAATACTAAAACCTTTGGACCCTTTTATAGACTTTCACGGACTTGAAAACCCCTCTCAGTTAGATTTTAATCTGAGTTTTAAACTCCGCTTAGAACCAGGGTAGGATGAATCTCAATCCACTCTTTTTTCTGTTCTTTCTCTTTCTCTTGTCTCTATTTCCCAGTCGTTTTCTAGGAGTGCAATGTCTCTTACACGGCTTTGGGACCCCTTTTATAGTGCAGCTTCTTCATTAAAATTTAAACTTGCCAACTTTTGGGAATTTATTCAAATAAGTTAAACGTTCGCATATTATTTTATCAATTTTATTAACGAGTCCACTAAAGAAATTTTTTTAAGATTTACCATAGTAGACTATTTTTTTTATTAATACTTAAAAAATCATCAAATTACTTACCAATTATAGCATTTAATACAAAAATATTAATAACAGATGCTTAATTCGAATCATATAATGTTGTCTATTAGATAATTTAAAATATGATATAGTGATATAATATAAAAATAATATGAAAATAATATAATTTAAAATTTTAATAAAACATAATATATTAATTTAATAAAATTAAAAATATATATTTAATGTTTGATGTTTCTTATATGAATCGTGATACAATAATTTTTTATTTTAAATTTATTAAACATAAAAAAAATAAACGCAAATATATAAATTATTAAAACTAAATATTAGTGGGGCTTGAAAATTTATGGGTTCAAAGTTTAATGCGGGCCTTAATCAAGTAAGCCAAGTTTGTCTTGTAAATATGAGTAAGGAATCAGGATAAATGAAAAACATTTTAAGAAAATATAAAATATTATTTAATTAATTTTAAAAAGCTGTTATTAAGACACTAGTTATCAATATTTTTTTTGAATAGATTTTTTTTCGTATTTGAGGTAAATACGATAACCTAATAAATAATTTACTAAACAACACTAAGAAAAAAAATGCGATGAAGATAATGTATTAAATGATTCAAAGTTGGGATTTTGGATTTTGCCATATTTTAATATGGTTTTTTTTAATAGATTCTTACATGGAGAGTTGGGGAGATAAAAGAAATTGTATGGAGTTGCTTCCCAATTTTTTGGCCTACATTGAATTTAGGCTAATAATTAATTATTTGTTGGCAAATGAAATGAATAAAAATTTAAAAGGTACCCACCTTCATGCAAGGTTGTCCATTAGACATTAATGTGGGATTTGCATCGCCTCTAGGTTGGAACTGGGAAGTATATGACAGAGAATACCTGCCTGGGTTAGAAATTGAAAAAAATAATAATAATAAAAAGGGAAAGCCATTATTCCCAGGGAAAGCGCCGGCCATTTCCGCCGACAACATGAGTCAGACAAAAGCCCTGCATGGGTTTAGGTTCAAACTTTCAAGCGGTATACCTGACCTAACGCCACCTTGAAACCTGCTAGATTCAGGGTAGCTTCCTATAGGCGGCGGACACCCAAAAAGAATAAGGCTGCGGGTCCCCAGGGTCGCTGATTCCTGGGAGTTGCTATAATGGAAAAAAAAAAAATCATACCACCTTCCAGCATCATCATCATCATAATCTGATAATTAAGATAAGATTGGTGATTGGTTAGATTTGCTTGAGATCGATGACTAAGATATTGTATCATCAGATATATGTGCATGGACCGTTCGTACGTATATATACCTATTCAAATTCAACGTTTGCTAAAAACATAAAAACAAAAATAAAACTGATCAAAGTATAAATTTGACAACCCAGAAAAACTGAAGGGAAAAGGACGGCATGTCAGCTACACGATATTGTTTGTTTCATTGTACATTTTAGATTAATGATAGACATCAAATCTTAGACTTGGCTTGATTCCAAAGATATATTAATAGCTCATCCATATTACACGGTTTTCTCGAGTTTTTAAAGATAAATTTTTTATTTAAGTGTTGGAGTATCATGCATGCATCATAGCTAATACTCAGTTGGCATTTAAATGTAATATAAGTTTTATAATTACGTGAAAAATATAATTTGAGAGAAAGAATGGAATGAAGATAAGGGATTATAGAACAAATATGCTAGAATTTTTGCTTTTATGAGGTTGGGCAGATCCTATTTGTGACCACATATTTATTGATAATATGGTACAAGTTAAGAAAGGCCCCGTTGAAAGATCTGTTTCACTTTCACATGCCCTTTCCGAGTAAGCCATTTTGGAAATTTTGTTTTATTCTTTCTGTTTTCCACCCTATGGAATAATGCGAACCTTACAACCAAAATTATTAACCATTTCCAATAAAAATGTACATGTTAATAAACATAGAAAGGTAGCATTTCGAATGTGATAAGTGATAAAATTAGTTGTATATCACTTCATTAATGATCATTAATGAGTAAATTCTTTTAAAAGACGTAATTTTTTGCTAAAACTTAATGCAAAGCTCAGTATGTGGAGTGATGAGACGACCCATGCACCAAAAGAGGCAATTTATTGGGAAAAAGATATATGCAACAAATTAAATGCATTGAAACGGGAAAAAAAACATAGTGCTAGCCACAAGTAAAGTTTGATGTCGATTGACACTGAACATTCATGTACCATCCTTCAATTTAAGACTTCATAATCTCTTAGCCTCTCGATAAGTTTTGTATAATAATTGTATCATAAATAAGGTTCAAGTACTAGTCCTTTTCTTTATCAAATCCCGCCATTGAACAATCCAGTTAAAACCAAATCAAGAAACCAGGATTTTATTATTTGAGAATATGTGATGAATTTCCGAAAGATATACGTAGTAGCAGTTTTGTTAATGCTTGCATGAACACAACAAAAAGGAGTACAACTTCGAGTAGATTAAAATGGGTTACAATGGTGATCGCATTTCCAAAAACTTTTATGAAAGGAGCCATTGTTAAAAGAGGCGTGCTGCATGGAGACTAATGGCAAAACAAGGAGGGTAAACCCGTCAAGAGGGATAGATTTGATGGCCGTCACATCTTGCCACAAACTCTTGGAATCTACCAAGATTCTTTGTTCTCTCTCTCTCTTTTTTCTCTCCAATAGAAAGGACAGAAGGTTGTGCGCTCCAAATAGATTCGCATCACAGTTTGTTTGTCAGTTGGGATCTCCTGTTTGTAGTACCTTGGAACATTGCTTGGAAAACGACTTGAACTTCACAAAGTAGTTTGTGATCCAAATAGCTTAACAGAGCCAGTCCCATCTATCCTTTGGGACCGTACTTGCCTCACGATTGGTTTCGACTCTTGTACTAATTTCGTAGCTAATCTCAAAACCTAGACAACCAGGAAATATCTTGGTGGCATAAATTTTATTATACTAAATATGCATGCCCTCAATGAATCCTACGAGAAACAGCCTCTAACTGTGACTAATGCATTTGGTTCTTTGCATATTTGCATAGAAACCAATGTGGGTGTCAAATTAATGGATCAGAAATATTGCTGTGGCCCATCACTAGCACCAACCCCTGCTTTTTTTCTTCCAACTATGATCGAATAAGCACTATAGCTTCTCAGGGGAGAGCATATATGGCTTTAAAAGAGTTGGTTCTTATTTCATTTTCAGGAATAACCAAGTGTTCAACGTGTGAAATCTTGATAAATCCAGCATGCTTTAATTTTAAACCTCCTGAAGAAAATTCCATGGTTGATTGGTTGTCATTTGATAACTTTTTGTCTGAATGACAGTGTTGTAAGTTGGAATCATTCAAATAAAAAATCTTAGGGTCCCATGGTACGGGAGCTAATTAATTAACATCTGTGATTGAGATGAATCCACCTTTCAGATGTCACAGTTGTGGATGTTGGGATTTTTTTTTTCAGTTTTATTTCTATGCTCCTAGACTTTATCCAAATATATGAGTACAAAAATTAAAAACGAAAATCCCTAGCTCGTTTCCTCACTCATTTTCCCATCACACTAATTATGTGGTTGTTTACCTTGCTTTGATCTCGAACTTCTCCTCAATATCATTTCAAATTTTTGTATTACAAAAAAATATTTTTTATTAGATTTAATAATTTATATATTTATGTCGTATTTATTTTATATTAAATATATATATAATATAAAAATTATTATACCATAATTTATACTTATACATTAAATTCAAGACACGTTTGTTAATTTTTATTAAATTCATATATTATTTTTGTCAAAAATTTAAATTTTTTATTTTTATTTTTTTCATTTTTTTTGTATTGTACCTAAAATTATAAAGTATATTGTCTATCATGCATTTTTTTCAGAATCCTTAATAGACAACAGCTTTAATAATTAAATAATATTAAAAGATTATTCAATTTTCAATAACATGATTTTTATATAATCACATGTTAGGATTTCAAGAAACTTTTTTTGTATAATCACATGTTATGATTTCAAGCAATTTTTTTTTTTTAAATTCTGCCAAGACTTTAAAACCAATCCGAAAATTCAATGAAGGGAATTCGCCATTTTAAACAAAAATAATCAACTGTTTATAAAACCCAACTACACACAACACATTTCTTTCACAGTCACGCACTAAACGCTCTTCTTTTTTTTTTTTTTCTCATCTCTTCAAATACCCCTCTAATCTTGAATGCTAAAGATATAAAAAAATAAATAAGTATCTTACGCCCCATATGCATGAATAAAAACGAGTTTGTTTATATTATCAATAAACTATATACCCATGATCTACATGATGGAAATTCACAATTTTTAAGTTAAAAATGGATACACTGATTCTTAAGCAAATCATTGTAAAACCAATGTTTCGTATTTTGGTTCACAATTCAATATTTGAAAAGAAAAAAGAAATGATATATATATATATAATGGATTAATCCAAAATATATTTCTTTCTTGCAATCAGAATCACATCTAATGATCTGAAACCCGATCGAAAAGGACTCAAAATGTAGTGTTATTTAGGGCGTTTTGGATGACTAAATGGGTGAGACGCATACTTGGGGGCAGGGGTTTCATCCAAAGTAAAGAGGTTAAGTTGAAGGCTTAATCATCCTATAAATGTCTACTATTAAGGTTGTGTTTGATGCTACCTTTCTCATAAGCCTGATAAGTTTATTGCATTTGGTAGCACAATCTGTCCCCTCAGTCCAGAAGATAGGATTTTAACAAGTGTTCTAATGATATTTGTAAATGAAAACTTTTAATAAGATTTAGAAAGTTACTCCATTTCACTCCATGAAAATAAACATGGTAGAACCAATTATA